AAGCCTCACTTATTAACTTTGCTAATCATAGGAATGGGAAATTGGGGACACATGTGGGCCAAATCCTTTTCTAATGCACTACGTAATGCATAGCCACGTGAGTACTAAACTAAAAGGTCGTATTTAAGACGTCAAATAATGTAATCATTATTTATATTGATAGGATCTTTTTGTTGATTTTGAAGCTTGGAGTCAGTATAATGTGTCAGAGTGGGTTATTCATTTTCAGATTGTACCTCACTGGGCTGCAGCTATCAAACTGGGCTGGTAGAAGCATAAGAACCCTTGCATTATTCAAATATGAACGTCAAAACCCTTTGAATTCAAATCATAAGAAACCTCTGCCACAAACAGATTCCGGTGTACAGAGCCAACTACATCATTGCCGTGTGCTTATGAATAGTGATGACGCTAGGTCGTTAAAGGGTATGCAAATCTTTTACATGACGTTTTCATCTCACCTTGATGCAGCAGAACGAGCAATTGACCCCGCTTTGCCGACGGCGACTGAGCTGGATGCAACCGTTGTAGAGACTATAGATATCGAAATAGAGAATTATGTATTTCATAAGCCTCAAATTCCGTTGGTGGCCTTGGGGTTGGGAATTCTATTTTTGCGACACGATATTTCCCTCCATGAACCAAAAATAAACATTTTGCAAGTTAAAATGTGGTATCAAAGAGAATGTCTACCTTACAAAGCTATATTTTGTATCAGTCAATCAATCCTATTTTCTACACTGGTGAGGCCACAGTTATACATATAATTTATGCTGTATACATTTGCGAATGTATTTTTGTCAGTGTAAAAAGGCATCATGGACGTAGATGTTGATACGTACCAAAGCCTAATGTTGCCACTTTTGTAACATTTGTTTTCCGAGACATTTCTCGTTGTGTGGACTATTTTTGTGTGGAGTATTTTTCTCGTTATGTCAATTGTTTTCTCGTTTTCACATTTGTTTTCTCGTTTTCTCAATTGCTTTCCCGTTATTTCAGTTATGTTCTCGTTGTTTCGAGTATTTTCTGGTTTCTGTCCAAAAAATGAAATTTCGCGTATTTTCTCGTTGCTTCTCGTAGGCTTGAATGGTTCAACAAAGATGCAAGTTTTTTAGATGTGATCATTTACAAAGTAGTAGCTATATAACAACTTGGTTCTCAAGAAGTGGTAGGATACATACAGATAGATGAAAGTATTTGGTGGTGTTACGTGTTGATTCCCAAATTGAAACTAAGAGGTTATTTGGGAATCAGTCTGCAAATGTGTGAAACCAACAAACAACAAAGAAATGCGATGTAATTAACAATTGTATTCTAAAATTGACAAAGTTCACAAACCAATACAAGTCACTGCAAAGGTATCACAATAGCAGTACAAAATAGTCAGTCAGTCAGTTTAGTTTAACGCCACACTCAGCAATATTCCAGCTATAAGGCGGCGTTCTGCAAATAATCGTGTTTGAACCAGACAATCGGGTGACCAACAACATGAACATCAATCAGTACAAAATAGAGTGACAGTACAATTTTAAAGGTAATATATACTCAAAGAAACGAATAAGGGAACACATGAATGTACAAGTGTTCGTTTGTTTATTTCCAGAATTTCACTCACAGTGCAATACATACCGTGTGAAGAAACCTGGAAAACAATAAAGGAACACTTGTACTTTCATGTGTTCCCTTATTCGTTTCTATGAGTATATTACAAGAGGTACATGTGATTAGATGTGCATGTCAATATCACGTTTATGTGCATGATATAACCCGTTTTTCAATATCATACATTTATTTTTGAAATATTGTTATATACTGATGGTTAGATCTCACTTATTCAACGTTTTTCCAGTACATTGATATAATTCTCTATGCACGTATTGTTCAGGAAAAAGGATAATATCATCAGCAAATTGAAACAATGCAACTGGATTGTATGATAATGTAACTGAATACTATTGGTGCAGTTATCATGGATCTTATTTGCCAATTCTTAAATTCATTATACAAAGCAAATATACTGCTCCTGGTTATATATTGCGCGGGGTATTCCGGCAAAACTGTCGGGTCTTGGCGCACTGTAACATCACTGTAGCACAATGAATTGTTTAAAAAGATTGATTATTCAATCTTTTTCAACTTCAAATGAAGACATCTTCAAATATCACAATGGTAAATTGAAATATAATCAGTGTTTCTAGCCAGAGGCCTTGGATTAGGAACTGTGGAAGTCAATGTGCGCAATTCTGTTTACTTTATTGATTCAAAACGAGTACCGCAGAGCATAAGAATCCCGTATTGTAATTAACCGGACCTGGATGCTTTGAAAGATGGTTTCTGTAAAGGTGTTTGGGCAACCATGAATCAATACTGCACAAATGGAATACTTGAACCAGCAATAGTCTGAAAGCAGTACAGCGGATTATCAAAGAGCAATGACAATGACTTGTGAATCAGCTTCTTTGTCGATATTAGATTGGCCAATTAAAGGATTGGTCACTTATTCTAATGGATCTTCACTACTGTAGTAATGGTGATTGGGAGCACTGCCGGTCGATTTAGCTTTATTGGACAGATCAGTCGTGATTAGTTCGTATGTGCACTGTGGCGAAGTGTATTGCCTGATTGATTTTGTAATTTCCCCTTTGAATATATTTACTTTTCAGAAGGTCAAACATTCGCGCCGCTTTGTACCTCGGTATGCAGGTAACTCCGTATGTCTTGATACAACTTAATGTTAACACAATAATTCGTTTCTCCAGTTTTGTATAAAAAGGTAGTCTATGCATGTCTCTAACTAAAGATAATTGGTTTGTCTTTTGATTATTTTAGTTTGCATTGTACATTAATATAGAACATATAGTTGACTCAGTGAGTGAGTCAGTTATGGAGTGGAAATGAATACCACTTTGAACAGTATTTCAGTTATGTGATATGACATGTCAACTTGATGTGACAGGAGATTCTGGAGTGATGCAGGTATCCCATGAATATCATCTAAACATCAATGCGACAACGACAGAACAGAACTTTCATTACGCCCAGGACGGTATACTCGGCATAAGACTGACTGACTGACTGACTGACTGAGTTTGGTTTTACGCCGCTTTTAGCAATATTCCAGCAACATCACGGCGGGGGTCACCAGAAATGGGCTTCACACAGTGTACCCATGTGGGGATTCGAACCCGGGTCTTCGGCGTGACGAGCCAACGCTTTAACCACTGGGCTACCCCACCGCCCCCTCGGCATAAGAGGTACAAATATACAATTAGAATACATAGGATGACGCCATGGTTTACATGGGCTATTGTACAGTTTTCATGATGGTATAACAGAATATACACAGGTTTTTTTAAAGCACAGTTTTTACAGTGAAACAATTGTGACGGTATATCCTTCCAAAGTACAGACCTTCAACATTTTTACATCTATGTATCCATTGTCATTCATTGTACGCGATGAAACAGAATGGACAGTTGCAGTATATACAGCCTAAAATATCAATTCCGTCTCTGAATCAGACGTATATTTTTAAAGATGCATGACAGGCATAATCAATCTATTCATCGTTCTGCCATCTGGCGTTGTCCAACACAAATTGATATTGAATTGCATAATGTGACTGAATGTATTTACTGCTTTAGGCTTGCTCCTGTCAGATGAAATCATCAATAAATGTTAACGGCTATTCTGTCACACATGCAGTTCCAAAACGTGGGCAAAAGGTCAGGGTAACCGAAAGTTTGGCAGTTGACTATAACTTCCCTCACACATAATTGATTTCCATTGCTGGGTAGTAAACGTGATTAATTACTAAAAACTGCATCTTGACAAGCTGTTAAATTGGATGCCATGTCAATGAACACGCGCGTCTTAGCTATCCACTCAGTCACGAAATGTGGTATCGGCACATTTTTGAAATACCCTCTTTGTATCTTCTCTTGTCAAGAGAATTAGTTGTCACATTGATAGTCGTATGTCAATATCAAAGACAGGGTACACATCACTCAGCATTACTGGGTTCCTCAGTCTTTAACGGCCCTTACTGACGTCATAGCAATCAACATTTTCTCCCCTTCCAAAGAGTCAAAACCAAATTAACACAATCCCGTAACAACCACTGTACACAAACCATGATGATGACCAATCTATGTAGTGAGAATAGATTCATTTTAGGATACATACAAGCTTCATATTTAAGACACATTTAACGCATCAATGTCGTAAATGCAATTATGCCTTATGTTATTACCTAATATAATGGGTAGTTAACATACCCATGGTAAGACAATTGTAAATTTCTTTGTTGTTTAAGGCCGCACTCTGTAATATTACAGCTACATGGCGTCGGTCTGTAAATAAAAGTGTCTGGACTAGACAATCCAGTGATCAACAGCATGATCATCGATCTACGCATTTGGAATACTATGACATGTGTCAACCAAGTCAGCGAGCCTGACCACCCGATCCCGTTAGTCGCCTCTTGCGACAAGCATGGGTTGCTAAAGACCAATTCTAACCCGGATGTTCACGGGTAACAAACGTAAATTTCATGCGTTCAAGATAACGCATGTCTGAGTTTTAAACTGAAGGTCATATCATTAGACTGTTACAAATTCACAATGCTCCACGGTGTTTCACGTGGGAACAATACCAGTAACGATAACGTCATATGATCACGCATTTCCCGATGATCCTGTGCTGTGATGGGGTCACGTTTGCATTAAAGTCAATGTCAGACCACTCAAATCAACAGTGAAGGACAAGCAGCAATCATCATAAAACATGGGCTATCTGCCTCATGCCCAGAGATTGTCCACACTTCGTTAATGACACATTAAGTCTAATTTGCGCTTTATATTGTGTATACAATGTAAGGACATGCAAACAGTTTCAAACACGAACAGACAAGTCTTCAATACTGTATATAAAGCAAATGATGGTGTAGTTGTGTTTCAGTCACCACTCTTGAGTTTTGATCTGCACAGAACTACATACTGCCATGAACTCCACTTCCATAAATGGTACAGTCAATTCGACGACTGTTCCAACAGAAGCATCAACAGCTGAACCAGAACCTAGTGTATCTTTCTCAGGATTTGGCTATGACATCATTGGCTTTATACAGTTTTCACTTGCCTTTTGTAGCTTCTTTGGAAATGGTATGGCCGTTCTGATATTCTTAAAGCATAAGCAGCTACGGTCTCCGACCAACACTTTCATCATGAACTTAATCTTCTGTGATATGTTGATGGGGATGGTGGCCTTTATATCAGCATCTGCTGCCTTCAACCATGGATGGGTATTCGGGCACAATGTGTGTGTTTTTGAAGGATTTATGGTGTATTTCCTTGGCCTGGCATCAATGTACCTCTTGGCATCTATTGCACTTGACAGATATGTTGTAATATCCAAACCACTGTCAGCCTCCAAGATTACCCAGAACGTAGCCCTACTATGTACTGGTGTCTGTTGGGTGCTTGGCTTCCTGTGGGCAATATTTCCCATTTTGGGATGGAATGAATATACCGTTGAGGGTATTGGGATCTCATGTAGTGTGATCTGGCAGAGTGACGACCCATTCTACTCCAGCTACATCATCACCATCTTCTTTTCGTGCCTTGTAATTCCCGTCTGTTTGATGTCCTTCTCCTACTACCACGTATACATGGCTGTAAGTATTGCTTGAGTGAGTAACCCCGCATCAGTGATTTTGCTCCATTTCGCGGCTACTGTAAGTATTGTTGGTAACTGAACTCCAATATTGGAGATATATGAAGGCGATCAGTAAATAACCGAGGGTGGACCAAACAACCCAGTGATTGACATTTCAAGTATCGATCTACGCACTTAGGATATGATGACACGTGTCAACAAAGTCAGCGAGCCTGACCACCTAATTCCGTCACTGTTTCCTATAATACGTACAATGTTTGAAACTGACAGGTATGGGTTAAGTACAATATGCATTGGCTGCTCAAAATCGATTCTAACCCGGATCTTCGTGGGTCTGCAATTATTTAAGTTGATGCCAAGAAACAGAAGGCAGATTGGAGTCTTAACGTCGAAGGTTAAAACAAATATCCGAAAAGTTTTTTGGCAAGGTGTTTTCTTGGAGTATATTTTGTATCATCGAACATTTATTTGACAAAGTTTTGTTGTTTTGAACCAGGCAATACTGTTTCACCCTTACAACCGGTGGCATACTACTGAAATAAAAGGAAGATGATAGGATTTGTCTGATAATGGTTTTAGGCTGTATATTGGCTAAATTAATTATATTATGAAATGACAAACTAGTATTACTGTGGTAGGTAAGTATGACAAGGGTCAAATGATCAAAGTAGATGCTTCACAATCATCCTGCTTACACATTCTAATCACCCGATCTCCATTAATCGGCTCACTCTTGATATCAGTGCATGGGTATTCGTGACTTACGCTGTTCATGGATTCATTTTGACAGCCGATAATGTTCTACACACGAACAAAAGATTACATAAAATGAATAATGCTAAAAGCGATGTGCCATTGAACTCTGTTACTTAAACATATTTAACTGAACCTTAGCAAGTGAGGGGCTAAGATAGAGCGCCTCTTTTTTGTAGTTTTGTGTCCAACTGTCAACTATTTTGTGAATTCGGATATAGACCCGGATAGATTTAATAACAATTTATTTCCCACTAAAAATATTTTGGGACCTTTGTGATGCTGGAATGTGTCCCAGAGTCCGATGATCGGGAATACAAATCTCACTTTCGCTCTGCTTAAGTTCCAAGATTTGTGAGCATTACATCGTTTTGCCCCTGGATTCCAGTAACTGTGAGCTTACAAGACCTCCATCACATGTGCAATGCGGCGGACATTAAGTTAAAACGACGAATATAAACTGAAATACTGATCAAGCCAACTAATTTACTCACTCACTCACTCACTGATTGAATAGTCACATGCTTTTTGCAACATTTGTGTTAGTTCTGTTTGGAGCATGTGATCTTGTGTGGCCTTTTTGTGTAAATTACAAATTTGTTGGTTTTTTATTTCAATTTCTGTATTATCACTGAACCAAGCATGACGAGTGAGTGAGGGAGTTACAGTTTATAGTCACAGCGGCAGTATTTCAGCCATATCGTGACTTAAAATAGTTATAAATTCATGATAAATGCGCAAATTTTAAAAACGTGCCGACGAAGTACAGTAAAACCAACTAGTATATCACAGCAACAAGAAATAAAACTAGCATATATCTCTAAACTAGGATTTCAAATTAGGACAATATAATATGAAAAAGACTAAGGATCGCCAACAACTGAAGGTAGATTACCCAAGCATGACGAAGTAAACAAATATGACAAAAATATTAATCAATGACTTCATGCACGTACTCTCAGTCGCACTCTGAAACGTGTTGTTGATGTGTTAGTACAGTAACGCTTTAAACACTACTGACTGATCCAACAACATTGATACAATGCAAACATATATTAATTCAACTATCCCATTTTGGCAGGTGCGAAACGTCTCGAGGAACAGTGTGTGGGACACCAAGAGCCGAGTCGCCAGGAAAAAACTAAAAGTAGAGAAGAAGATGTTGAAGACGTGTGTAGCGATGGTTTGTGAGTAATCCTTGGTAACGCTATATGTGATATAGATCAAGCTTTATGGATAACAACTTCTTTTTAATCGTGAGTGCGACGTTTCGATACAGATTCTTGTACCGTTGTCAAGCATAATGAAACATGAAGGAGGGAGAAGTATATATATATACTGAATGTAACAATGTAACAAAGAAAACAACATAATTGACATAATTGGCTAGGAAGTAAGCTGATGAAGCCAGAGAGTAGACAAAGGACAGGCGTGGAAGCCAATGATGTACAAATAATAATGAGATGTTTATACAGCAGACTTTATACAGTAGATTGGGCTTGGTGGATGAGTGCATCATAAGCGGATGGAACGAAGTATCCTTGGTCTCGGTTGATGGTGGGCGTTTGGCTTTTGATGTGGATGGCTTCGGTGAGCTTGCGTTTAGTGAAGTCTGTTTGCTTGTTAGCGAGAATGGTGATGTCAGACCACTCTATTTGATGATTGGGGCTTGATGTGATGTGGTCGGAGATGGCTGATTTGCTGTCGGAATTGGTAACAGAGGTCAGATGTTCTTTTACTCGGGTGTTGATGGGTCGGAACGTTTCGACTATGTAGCTCTGTCCACAATCACAGTTTATTTTGTAGACGACACATTTTGGGCTTATGATGCACTCACCCACCAAGCCCAATTTACTGTATAAACTCTACTGTATAAACATCTCATTATTATTTGTACATCATTGGCTTCTACGCTGGTCCTTTGTCTACTCTCTTGCTCCATCAGCTTACTTCCTAGCCAATTATGTTAATCATGTTGTTTTCTTTGTTACATTGTTACATTCAGTATATATATATATATATATGTATATGTATATGTATATATATATATATATATATATATATATATATATTTACAACTCACGAATAAAAAGAAGTTGTCATCCATAAAGCTTAACTTGTTCTATATTGTACTTCCCAACTTCTAAAATGCCACTCAAAGAAGTTAACACTATATATGTGTTTTAATTGTTAACACACAATGATTTAATAGGACTTTATTTCTGCAGTAAATAGCCATTGAATACGCATCCTTTAACAATATGCCCACAATACCAATACACGTGGGTTTAAACGTTGCTCACATATGTAATATGATCGAGCACCTAAAGTAAAGTATCTTGAGTAGCATCTAATAGGACTTTGTATCATTTAACACAGCGTTGACGTTTGGGTTTCAATTTCTTCGTTTCAAGCATACAAGGCTATCTGCATTCGTCTAGCGCATGACCATTTATCCCATCTGGTAATGGTTTATCTGAAAAAAATTAAACTGAAAAGTGTTAGATTTGACAAATTAATTAATTAATCTTTCTCCGAAGACAACATTTTAAATATTCAAAGCGGTTATTTTGCTTGTTCTGTGTGCGTGGGCTACTCGCGCCGTGTCTCTGTCATCACCTGGGGCTTCGTTCCCAAATTAAACTCAAAATGTTGTTCAACCCAACCCGCTCTCTCGTTATGGCTCTTTTCCTCACCCATTTTTATGGCTTGGTGCAGTTTTATCCCAAATCTGTCAAACGAATTCCAATGAGATTATGTTTCATTAAAATTGAAGACTCGATAATGCATTTCAATTAGTTCATTACGCAATGCGATCAGATTCGTCTTGTCGTACCAAGCGTTCGTGTATGGCATTTACATTAATTTACACGTGTCCTCGGCAAATATGTTTCTGTGGGAAAGTACCTTATTTGAACCATTAGAGTGATAGAATATTATTAAGGTAAAACACGAATCCTGGACCTCAAGCAATCAATTTTGCACAGAAAGATATCATCACTTGGTTGTTACGGTGTCAGCATCTACACCGAAGCGTCGCAGGTATTGTTCAGGGCCTCTTTTCACAAAGCACTAAGGTGATCGTAAGTCACTAAGGTAACCTTCGTGCAATGTTAACGAATGGGAGTGACGGTTAAGCTTAGTAAAGGATGCATCATGACAGGAGCCCCTGAACGATATTGTCCGTCCGCTTCACACACCTCTCGCTTGATATGTTGTATGAACAGTTTCTTTCTTGTTCAACGTCGCACTCAGCATTATTCCAGCTATACATGACGGCGGTCTTAAAATATAGCCGAGTGGAGATGATGCCATGACCCAGAGCATCGACCTAGGCTATGACATGCATCATCAGCCAATATTTTTTGTCTAACCCGGATCTTCATGGAGAACGTCTGTATGAGGTTGGTTATTGTTTAACGCCGCACTCAGCAATATTCCAGCTATATGGCGGCGGTCTGTAAATATAATCGAGTCTGTACCAGACAATTCAGTGATCAACAGCATGGGCATCAATCTACGCAATTAGGTCAGCTGAAGACCAATTCTTACCCGGATCTTGACGTGTGAGTTTATCAGAGCATACTAAGAGGTGATGATGAGAAGTAGCCGATGGGATAGTTATACGTATACTCTGTTAATCGTAAACATCTGACTACAATAGCCTTGCGACAAGACGGAGTGAGTGAGTGAGTGAGTTAAGATTTAAAGTCACATCGGCAATATTTCAGCCATATCGTGACTAAAACTAGTTCTAAATTTATAATACATACATATAATATATAAAACCCTGTCAACGAAGGACAGTAAAACCACTAGATTATCACAGATTGAGCTAAAACTAGCTAGCATATATCTTTAAAAGTAGAAAATTATTTCCGGACAATACTATGTAAAATTGGGCTATAGATCGCCAACAACTGAAGGTAGATCACCAAACTAGGGACCATGGAGACTTACAGTGCCTTTGCTACCTGCATGGACCCTAATTATAATTGGATTTACACCATCCCTTCAGCCTCTGGCGATTGTAGGACAAGTTTAGCCGAAGGTTAAAGGAACAAATATATTACGTTTAAAAATCGGGTAAGCAAACATTTAACTTTGAAAGTTTGGGACTTTCGTACCCTCTCAGGAGTGCGACAAGACGGAGAACAATATTTTCTTGAAGATCAATTCTAACGTGTGACAAACTAAACACTTCCGTATTGGTAACTGTGGAAACCTCTTAACGGCAACTGTGTATTTGTGACGAGTCATTATGTTTGTATGACAAAATAAGTCATGTTTACTGAGTCAACGTGACCCAGACCTTACAAATGGACTGGGAGGATATGCTCATTTCTGTCGCGGACACAGGGTGTCATGTTCTCTCTGTATGAGGTTGAAGGTGTAGGCTTTTCCATAATCGCTTCCGTTTCGTTGTTTGCACAAATGTGGAAGACAAAACAATCAAATTAATCGATTTAAGTATTATGCACAGATGTTTTATATAATGATAATTGGCATCTGTTTACCTGTACTCCTGTCCTTTGTTTGTAGGGGCGGTGGGGTAGCCTAGTGGTCAAAGCGTCCACTCGTCACGCCAAAGACCCGGGTTCGCGATTCCCCACATGGGTACAATTTGTGAAGCCCATTTCTGGTGTCCACTCCGTTGTTTGTTTGTTTGTTTGTTTGTTTGAATATAATGAAGCCTAGACCACGCAAACATGTAGAAATTTTGGAGATCTTGAGCAATGCCCCCCTATGTCAGTATACACGGGGTGGCGTTGTAACCTAGTCTTAAAGCTCGCGGTGTCGAACATTCTCTGGGTAAAAGGTGCTCATTTATTGTGTCCCCTGTCGTGATGCTACTGAAATATTGCTTAATGCAACATACAACCATATTCACTCACTGCCAGGATACGTTGACATTTCATCAATGGCTCTTAATTCTCCTATCAACCAAGCCGCCTCCTACGACCAGCATATGTTGCCTGTTCTAAGCGGAATTCCAAAGGGGCACATTCTGCATATTGCATTATCAATATCCAACAGTGATTATCAGGTTAGCCCTATCATTATTGCACTTAATTACCTCTCGTGGGATTACTCCTATGAGCATAACTATCCATTATCTGTGGATTCGAATTAATAGACTTTTTAAATTTACATTATTCATCGATAGGTGCTCACCTGTTTCAGGACACGTGACAAGATGCAAAGGTTGTAACTGACCGTCACTAAACATTTGGTATGGCCCCTTTAACTGTCACTATAGTTCAAGGTGCCCGATTGTGACCTGGAACATCTCTTATAAACCCGTGAAGATCCGGGTTAGAATTGATCTTCGGTAACCCATGCTTGTCGTTAGAGGCGACTAACGGGATCGGGCGGTCAGGCTCGCTGACTTGGCTGACACATGTTATTGTATCCCAATTGCATAGATCGATGCTCATGCTGTCGCTTACTGGGTTGTCTGGTCCAGACTTGATTATTTACAGCCCGCCGCTGGAATATTGCTGGAATATTGTTGAGTGCGGTGTAAAACTAAACTCACTCACTCATCTGTATACAATGTAGATGCTGTTGTCGTCGCACAACCTGTTTGTGAATACTGCTTACTTGCTTACTTAATACTTTGAACTAGTTGATCGTCTCAGGGACTGAGCGTTATGAGCGCTAATTTTTATAACATGGATCGAAGTCCATTTACAGTGCTGGGGTAAGGGCAGAGGTTGCTAGCTCCTAACATCATGATTTTATTTTATTTTGAGTTTTTTAAGAATGTTAATATATTATGTTACTGGCATAGTCGTGTTGTTTTTCGAATTCCTGGCTAAATGCAAACTGACGAGTCGTGTTAGCATATCACAGACAGACATAACATTGTGTCAATGTGCAGGGTAGGGGCACAGTCCCTCGTGTCTTTGCGAGGATTAAAGATTAAAAAAATATTGTTTTGAGATGACCCCCCCACTCGAAATGCTTCACAGTACAATACATTATGTCATAATGTCATAATGTATTGTACTTTGAAGCATTTCCCCTTGAGTTGGGGGGTCATCTCAAATTTATATATATATGTTTGTTTTAACTCTTTAATCCACGCGAAGATACAAGGGCCTGTGGGTTGGGGTGGGGATGATTGTTGGTGACGAACATCGGGTATGGATGAAAACTGTATGCACACCTTCCCGGTGTTTATGCCTCTTAGAATGAATGCTAGTAGACTATGCGGGCATCATGTTTCATTCGGCCGGATGATGTGGATCTTAAATGTCAAAATAACAAGTCATTAAACTGAACAATAAAAACTTCTTTCGACCGAGAACTGGACTAGGTGTATAAGTCAGTACGCCCACAGTATTTGTTTTTTGTCACTGACATTTGTTGCGCAGCAACAATATCTTTCGAAATATGTGAATGTTTTGTTGTTGATCGAGTTTTTACGCTCTAAGTGTTTTTAGGCTGCGTATAGTCCAGTGGAAAAAACATAGCCCGTCTCACGTGACGGTCTATTTTTGTGAAGGACGGTCTATTAAATAAGTAAGGCAGTCCTTTGGGTTGGGAAATATTTGAAAAAATAAACTTAACTTGGTTTGAACTTCGTCTTTTCTATTATTACTTCATTGTTTTAGTTTTTGGGACTGGCTGTGTTTGTTCAGGGCTGATCACTTTTTTTGGACAGCCAGTCCGTGGACAGGCCATATTTCAAAACCATTTTATACGAATTCGGTTCTAGCACCATGGCATTTTACAATACTGATAAGCCATATCGAACCCATGTGAGGAATGGAACCAAATGATTGGCCAAATCACAAGGCTACACAACCGTGCATATAATATTAAGAGCAAAGCCAATATGTTCTAAAAATATTATTTCTTTAAAAGTGTTAAAAACATATAAGACGAATGTCAAAATATGCAATAAAGGTTAATTGCATCTTTCAGCTATATTTCTCCTGTCCTGGCTGCCCTACACCGTTGTGTCCTTCATCTCAGCCTTCGGCGACCCTACCCTGATCTCCCCGCTGATGGCGACTATACCCGCCCTGGTGGCCAAGTCGGCTGGCCTGTGGAACCCTCTGATATACGTGGCAACCAACAAGCAATTCCGCTATGGCTTCTACGCCATCATTCCATGCAAAGGGATCAAAGACTCGCTGGTGAAGAAGGAAGAAAAACAGCCAGAGTCCTCGGAGGAATCGGATCTGGATGACGAAGACGACAAAAAGAATACCAAAAAGGTAACGCTTGTAAGTTCCCGACCTGATAACGGACCCTGTGTCAGACCGGAACACTGGTGCACAGGGAATCCATCAATGATGAGCATTGGATTGCCTGGCCCAGACTCGATTATTAACAGACCGCAGCCAGATAGCTAGAATAGTGCTTGGTGCAGCGTTGAACAAGAGCAAAACAAACAAAAATGAAAATCTACGGATATCAATAAATAATACCATTTAGAAACTGGTCAAATGTAATATATGTTTTATTTGGGATTACACATTCTTAGTACACATTCTAGAACTATTGTTTGGTGAGACCCATCCGGGATTCGAACCCATCCCCCTCAGAGTCAGGCACCTAATCGCCAGCACCCAAGTCTGCCGCCTAACCCGTTCAGCCACTGATCAGCCAAATGTGAAAGCCGCGGTAGCTGAGTGGGTTAGACTGCTAACTGTGTGCTGGCGATTAGGTGCCTGACTCTGGGTGTGTGGGTTCGAATCCCGGATGGTACTCAACGGATACAATCCACGGACATGACGGGAACATGTTTGTAGGGGTCACACAAGGTGCATGTATGAGTCGTAAGCAGAGTCGTATTATGACGCTCAGGAGTGAGTGAGTAATGTATTAATGCGATCATGAGAATAGACATAACTGCATCGATTCGATAATCAAACAGATCAACTGCGCTCCTGCCTGCCCCGCTCAAGGGAATGTGCCTGTACGTAGTTTCGACCTATGTGAAAACTGTACCTGAATATATATTTAAAGGATGCGTCCCTCGTTATCTGAAAATATTGGCGTCTACTTTTGAGTCATGGATTAAACTTTATCTGAACTGAGGGATCAGTAATGCATTGCTTATGAGCGTGGTGTTACGGGCGTGATATCTACGTTAATTAAACTATCAAACTCAGTTAGGTGATAAAATTCAGAGCATCGAGTATCATTCATTTACTAAATAGTTAACATTAGGTGCAGTTGGGGGGAAAACATAGGTTAAAGTACGACCTAAGCATCTCCAGTTTTGGTTAGCAAATGCACTTGTTATCACCTATGTGAATACGTATACATACTAGTATATCGGTTAATGATATCGATAAGTACATGATCTCAAAGATCCACGACGCACCAACTAAGTCACACTACACCGGACCCTACCTGAATGCTCAAGGGACAGAAGACTGACGTATTATTTTGCTAAAGGTTAATGTTCTAGCAATATCACTGTAAATACAATCAGTTTTCACTTGTACACTATCGCTGGGTCATTGATCGACAGCCAGAGATAGGAGTCACAGGTCTTGACAGAGATTCGTGGTTGAAGGGGGTTTCAGACAGGCACATTTCCAGTATAGATCTCCGAATTATAATGAATCAAAAGCTGGGACTGCAAAGTCATTCAACCCTAGAGGTGTGACGATACTGAAATTTCACGATACGATACGTATCGCGATATCTTGGAATGTAACGATTCGATTCGATGCATATCACGATATGCTTTCTTTAGTTATTTTCCTTAAAAAAAAAATCATATTTTAATAGCAAGAAATTTTGACATAACCGTCAATATCTAGTGAAAATTAACAATTTTAAGGTCAACGATACATATCACGATACGAAAAAACATATCGATATATTTATCGTCAGATAAAGTATCACGATTATCGATACTACGATATATCGTCACAGCTCTATTCAACCCTAATCTTGTTTTCATTTTTGTCACGTTTGCAGGAAAGAACCATTTTCTATAATATTGTACCCGGCTGGTCATTTCAGGAAAAGAAAGACGAGAAGCCAGGGACATCCGGGCGACCTAAAGGCAATGCTGTAGCTCCGGCACCTGAGGAGGACTCCGGCAATGAACCTACGGTAATAGAGGATGTTTCACACATGGATGAGGCGGACGTTGAACTCAAGGACATCAAGAAGAAATAGGTCACTAGACTATGCGTATTGATTTATCATCTAGTGAGCGAGTATACATTCTATGTCGGCAATGGTTTTTCATTTTGGCGTCATTTACGAGGCCGAGGATCAGAGAAGAAAGACAAGCTTTTCCCCTTATTACGCAGAGACAAGTCTTAAATTAACACAACTTACAACATGTGGACTTATTCTGGAAACAGGCACCAGACCTTGGTGTCCTACAGTACTCTGCTTACCTGCGAACATCATAACGTATTTCTTTAAAGATGTATTTCATCCTATGTTGTCAATTACACGTCACTGATTACAGTGATTACAAGCTACAGACGTTGCTGTATAGATAGGTATGTAACATGCATTTACTATATAAAAGAGATGAAACGCTTTCGATAATGACAGGAAATCTGAGATCACAGTCCATTGTACGATTCCGACCATATCATAAGCGTGTGTTCAAAAATCACTATCAGATAGTGACGCTATCAGGTAAGGGACGGAAATTGTGCATTGAAAAAAGCCTGGAATATAATGGAGATGTCAGAATTGCATCAGACATCATTTTTGCACAAGAAAGAACTGAGGCGTCTTCCACATGTCTTAAAGACATCATGGTTGCCATGGTGATCATTGGTGAGGACGAATCCTGCCGTTACACTACCTGCACTTTAAATCTAATTATATACATAAATGTGGAATGTAGCAAAGGTACTGTTTATATAACAAAGGTGAAACTAATTCTTTTGAATTCTTGTATCCCGAATACAGACTATTAAATACATAGGGTTTGTAATTTCGTACCATGTTTGAAAGTCTTTCATCAAAATGCACTTTTACCTGACAATTGCAGTCTGTGCATGCACTAACAATATCACAATAATGAACTATGTATTATCTATGGTATCTATGGTAAACGACTGTCCAGCAGACATGACAAGCACTCATGTATTTGTTTAGGGGCCGGATGGGTATATTCCTGTCATATTTCTTCATAAATTCCACAAATTTCTCATAAGTTTTAGGACTGAACCACAAACATATATTTACCTTTTATCTATAACGCCACTTATGGGGTACAATGTATACAACGATTGGTGTCTCCACGTCCATGCATTTTTGCAATATAAACGTTTTCCTCTAGTTACTGTGAATGCCTTGTAACTTTCAATATACATGTGATATATTTGCTATACAGTAAACCTATGGCTATATCATAATATACAGTTAAAACAGATGACCACTGACTGTCTATAGGACGGTGGAGTATTGAAGCAGACTTCTATTCTTCGTGTCTACTATTATGTAACTATTGAGGACACAGGTTCACTTGGCCAGTGAGATTATTTTCATTACCTGTGTATGTCAAACTATATCTTTACCACGTAGTAAAATAAAATAAAATACTGATAAAACCGTGATTGTATTTTTCGTCTTTTTGTGTAATATCTGACTCAAAACAGAAAGTGCCACCTTGAATATCAATGAAATCATAGTGTTATATGATTAATAATGATTATGTCATCGCTGGACAAAGCGATTATTATGTTAAAACAGTCAAATTGTCAGTTAAGTAAGACCATTGCTGTCATCCGCCAACATTAATATCCATACACCACTCTTCGTTTTCAAAGGGCAAATATTGTTGAAATTCAGGCAGTAAATATACGATATGATAGGGGTGGTTCATTTTCTCACCATACAATCGTCATGCATGCAGCAATGCCACTGTCCTGATTCCAGCCTTACACCCAGGCTCCCAGATGAAGAACCCGCCAATAGACAATGGAGAAGCAATATCGGAGAAAAAGGCATAAAATCCAACTTACATAGCTGCAAGAACCAACGACGAAAGCCGATCACGTTGAGTAAACGTGTGCATACAGTTAACATGTTAACATATGTAAACTTCATGTACAAAAATAAAAATACACAATTACTGTACTGGAGATACTTGAATGGATTAGGTGTCAAAGTCAAAAGCTACAAGAAATCTCCTTTCCTCAGGAAACTTTGGGTATCAACATTTTTATCTGATGACCACGACGGCACTCCTGACAATAGAGAAGTTGATATTCAAACATCTTTGGCTCATGTTCATCACTTCTTAATGCGCTTAAAAGGACTCCGGAAACGTAAGGTTTTTAAATATGGATTGCTATATGACGAAATGATGTTCTGTGATGAAATTATGTAAAGCTATATCTCGTCGAAAATAGAATATATAAACACAACGGACACGATCAGTGGAATTAAATTTGGCTGACAGGCGATACTGGATACTATCAAGCAATGATGTTAAGTACTTATGTATATTGACTATTTGTGTATTATTGCCAGGCAAAGACGTTGGGAGGTCTAAAATATTAAAGTAACGATAATATCATTGTCAGTATCAAGCGGTTTGGATCGCAACAAAACGACCGAATCGATGGCACCTGCTAACACGTTAATTGCCAGGAGTCCAAGTACATTGTACATTAATTCATCCCAAACAGGATTGTGTGGCGCCCGTTCGTCATTGCCGAACATGTGCCAGAAGCCCTAGTTCGAGGTTTCTTAGCACAATGGGTTTTACCAAAGTAAGAAGCTTCTAACTACAGCTTGATCACTAGGAGTTTCCTTCCATTCCAAGGTGACTCAGTAATGTTCCAGGCAGCGTCTTCCGAAGCGTTGAGGTAGGCAAAGTGTTTAGAAATATGTTAACAAACGCCCATAAACTCCCCATGGGAGGCATAGTTTAAATTTAAACTTTTGATAAACAAAAAACTTTTACATTTACATTTTCATCCTTCGTACGTTAAAATGACACCAGAACATTATGGAGTTCCTAATGCTTACACCTAAATACTGCACGAGTATATTGTAGCTGTTATTCGATATAGCCTGATGTTACTACGCGCCATAACATCCACAACCAGACGTTGCACTATCAATGTTAAGGGTGTTTGGCTTTCGAAATTTCAGAATAGAAGTAACCGTTCAAGAATTCAGGAATCCTTCACCTATATTCGCTGTTCAGAGCTCCCACCATTGGGGTCATCTTGAGCAAAAGTTGCCAGATCTTCAGGCAGAGGGGAAGAAATTATCTGTTTTAATGGTTAATAGAAAAAAAACAAGTTGGCAATGTCATTTTTGATATCTTGTTGACCCGTGAAAATCTGGGCTGGAATCGGTTTTGAGCGACCCATGTTTGTCGTAAGAGGCCACTACCAGGATCAGACTCGCTGACTTGGTTGATACATGTCATCGTTTCCCAATGACCGATGATCATACTGTTTATCGTTAGATTGTGTCATCCAGACTCTATTATTTACAGACCGCCGCCATATAGGTGGATTATTAAGGGCGGGGTTAAAACAACAAACAACATCTTGCTGTCTGACGAACTGTTTCTTCCAGATGATAGTATTTGACGATGCTCACCCTGTGTTCATCCTCAGAAACATTTGATTTTCAGGAGAAAGGAAGGGATATTTAAAACATAAACTTAATCAGGACTGAAATTACATGTTCACCACATATCTGGAAAACAAAAGTGCATTTTTGTCAGACTAAACTAAAGTGTCCATAGAATACTTATTACTATTAAAATATCGAGCTCCTGTTTGTGGAAAATATAACTAAGCCCCTGAACATTCAGTTAATTCTGACGATGATGATGATTATGATGATGATGATTGGTTATCTAAAACCGGTGCACCCACGTGTACGTCAATGACACACACCATTGATCGCAGGTGTACGGCGAGATTCGGCATTGAATGGCAAGTGTCATGGCTGGAGACTGCACTAGTTGCACTCATTTCATGGACGTCCATTAACATCAAGACAAAGGCTCTGGTACTGGACGTTGTAATATCTATCAGCATGCAAACAGTTTGAACCGCATAGTTTCTTCCAGTGTCGGAATGTTTAGTGAAAAATAAGAACACAATCTGCTTTCTCTTCCCCGCTCTTTTTGCTTACGCCCAAATGAATCTGTTTGTGGATAATCGAGACTGGCTATTTTCTGGCGTTGACGCTTAATGCATAGTTACCTGAAATGGGTAGAGCTTTTTAGAAGGGGGCTGAAGTCGCCGAGTTTCATCATACGCTCAGTTGCATATATCAGTTATGTTAAGTTAATTACACAAGAGATGTTTGGACTAATGCATTTAAACTGTCTTATCTCTGTTGAAAAAGAGCAATGCTTGAAACATGCATATTAGTAGTGACTGAGTTTAGTTTTACGCCGCAGCCAGCAATATTCCAGCTATATGGCGGTGGTCTATAACTAATCAAGTCTGGACCAGACATTCCAGTGATCAACAGCGTGAGCATCGATCTATTTCTATATAATTGGGATACGGTGACATATGTCAACCAAGTCAGCGAGTCTGACCACCCGATCCCGTTAGTCGCCTCTTACGACAAGACTGGGTTACTGAAAATCAATTCTAACCTGGATCTTCATGGGTATATGGACTTGAACACAACAGTGAGTGAGTGAGTTCATATTTATCGTCACATCGGCAATATTTCAGCCATATCGTGACGAGAACAATTAATGATTATATCATATATCAATAAAATTAAAAATTAAAACCTGTTGACGAAGAAAAGTAAAACTACTAGTGTATCACAGATATCCATTTAAAACTATTGATGAAATCTAAAACATGTTAACTAGAAATGACAAGACAATGTAAAACAGACTATAGATCGCCAACAATAGTCCACCACACTAGGGACCATGGGGACTTACATCACATTTGCTTCCCGCATGGACCCCAGCTGGATTTACACCATCCCTTCAGCCGTCAGCATTTTAGACACATCTAGCCATACATTAAAAACACACATATTCTACGATTAAAAAGTTGGATAGATTTAAATTGACTTCGAATGCCTTGGGGCTCACGCACCCTCTCAGGGGGACAATAATTCTACAATGCTTCAACCCCCTTTGAAGGCACAGCCACTAAAAATCTCAGTCACCAATCTAAACTACCAGTAATAAAATATTTATCTATTTACAAATCATTCAACAAATTTAATTCTTTTAAAAATGCAATAATTAAATGAGAACTTATATTATTAAAAAGATCCTTCATAGTTCGTGATTTGAAATAGTCCCTTGTGATGGAATATTCAACACAGTCAAGCAAGACATGCTTGACAGAGTTTCTTTCATCACACGGGATGCAAAACGGTGGAATCTCACCTTTCAATGGGTATTCATGAGTATATCTTGTGTTGCCAATACGACATCGTCGCATGTGACCTCTTCAATTCTGGACTGACAACCCAAGTAAGTGTAACAAATATAGGGTTTTATTTCATGTAACTTATTGATACCTACTTGGGTGTCCCACTTCTTCTGCATCAGATCACGGATGTAAGTTCTAATGCAAGCTTTGTAATCAGAGTATGGGATAAGAAGTGGTGTCACAGATTTGTTGAGCGCTGCCTTGGCAGCAAGATCAGCCATTATATTCCCAG